GCTAAAAGTAGACAAAAACTAGCTAGAAGCTAAAGTAACAAGACCAGCTAAAAGTAGACAAAAACTAGCTAGAAGCTAAAGTAACAAGACCAGCTAAAAGTAGACAAAAACTAGCTAGAAGCTAAAGTAACAAGACCAGCTAAAAGTAGACAAAGAATAGCTAGAAGCTAAAGTAACAAGACCAGCTAAAAGTAGACAAAGAATAGCTAGAAGCTAAAAGTAACACATTTAGCCTTAGAACCACTTTAAATCAGAATTCTCTCTCGTCAGGTGATGCGTGCTTCAACTTGCAGCAAATTAAAACCATAAAAAAATGTGAGTCCTGTGCTCCTACCTGTCGTTGCCATTCCAGCAGCATTCAAACTTGTCGAAGATGCAGTCGTTCTCGTAGAGCGAGCACAGCTTGCTCCTCAGGTATTCGTGAACCTGTTGACAATCGAGCGGATATAATGAGTCTGGCGTGAAGCGAAGACTGAAAATCAACTGCAAGGAGCCGACGTTCCCTGCAGCTGAGGGTTCAAACTAACGTCTGAAGATTCAGAGCAACTTTCTTCTAAACAAACAGGTTTAGGRCGTCTCCTAGTGGGCAGTCTGTCAAAGTACAAGAATTTACTTTCATTTTTTAAGGTGGGTCGATAACGAGAGTTTTAACAGTCGTTTGATTGTTTGAGTGGAATCAAATGATTCACACGCAGGATAAACTTTAAACTTAAACAAAAACTAGAGAAAGTTATTTGTCTGGTAAACAGTGTGAACGCTGACTGACTGCTGAAAATGAGCAAGAAGCAGAAAATAAGTTGTTAAAGCTGAAAGGAGCAGTTTGCTAACGCTAACTAGCTGCTGATCTGTGGTTGAGATGTTAAATCAAACCAGTCTGGGGAAGAAACATTGACAAGACCAGCTAAAACTAGATAAAGACTAGCTACAAGCTAAAAGTAACAAGACCAGCTATAACTAGATAAAGACTAGCTACAAGCTAAAAGTAACAAGACCAGCTAAAACTAGATAAAGACTAGCTACAAGCTAAAAGTAACAAGACCAGCTAAAACTAGATAAGACTATAAAGAAGCTAAAACAAGAAAAGCCAAAAGCTAAAGTAAAGAGACCAGCTAAAAGTAGCAAAAGGATTACAAGAAGCTAAAAGTAACTAGACCAGCTAACTAGGGGTGCAAGTTATCGATTAACGGATTAATCTAAAGTTGATTGATCTTATCGATCAGCTAACGATTAATTCAGGGTTCCTACAGTTTAAGTCAAGTTAAATTCAAGACTTTTTAAGACCTCTTTAATGCCACTTGAAATTAAATTTAAGACCAATATCACATTAAAAACAAATGGAAAAAAAACCCAGTTAGCAACAATTTTAGCCATTTTTTATACAAAACAACTAGCTGCGAGGGGCATTCAATGAATTATTTAAAAAGATAAATAAATGTTACAAATTCTTTGAATATTTGAGAGGACTTACAATCATATTTTTAAGACCTCTGAAAGATTGATTTAAGACTTTTTAAGGCTAATTAAGGTCTTATTTTCGGACTGCTGAATTCAATGCCTTTTAAGATTTTTTAAGGATCCGCAGGAACCCTGTAATTGATTATCCATTATCCTAAAAACCTGACATTTCTCTCGAATCAAGGGTCTTTCTATAACATGAAGGGCTAATGTTCTACGCCAAATAAAAAAAGTTCAGTTTTATGTTTTATAAAACGTATAGTGTCAGCTGTATTAAACAAATTTTGGATTTCTCACACATTAAACTTGGACGTATTTGTAAAATATAACAAAACAGGAATCTGTTAAGTTGCTAATTGAAAAATAAAAGAAAAAAGTAAAACACTTGATCCACCCTGAACAGAGAAACGTAACACTAACATTTAAACACATGGTAGCATTTTAATCTAAAGATCTACTTAWAAACAAACTATGAACAYGACCTGAGRGGAGTAAACGTACAAATGAGTGCTGGAACTGTTTGTTTACATTCCCTGTGCTTCTATCTGGGCTGGACTGATTTGACATCAGTTACTGTTCATTTGATTTGTTCACTGGCCGGGTTACGTCACACAGATGAGATTAACTTCACGTTAATTATTTTTAGTGACTAACTTGTTTTTGTTTTGTTATTTCACACGGAGTCAAACTTCACAAGAAGCTAACGTTAGCTAACCGTTCTCCGTCGCCCTGCTCTATAAGCGTCATACCGCTGGATAGTCCGGTACAACCTTCAATACTTTTCCTTTGAGTKTGGTTTAGTCCAGTATTGTTGTGTTGCAAATAAAATGAAACCAGATTTGTGCGATGACGCTGCACTCTGCTCAGCTCAACAGTGCCGGGGTAGAGTTAGGCCAGGCTGAGAGCAGCTGCGCCCTCTACTGGATGAAGACAAAACTACACTGAAATAAGGCTTAAACGCATGTTTTCAATTAATCGAATGGAAGAAATTAATCTAATAAACCATTATTTGACAATTAATCATAAGTCGATTAATCGTTTGCATCCCTACAGCTAAGACTAACCTCTGAGGGGACTCGGTCCACTTTGTGCACAAACCGTAACAACCCAGCAAATGTTTTCTGATGATTAAAGGCACACGATATAGTTCTGTCCAACCATAGCTTGAGTTAAATGCAGAACTGCAGGTTTAAAGAAGCGATGAACAYGCACATTCACACTTCGGTCCTCTCACCTGATACGTCTCCACTGGTCGGTTCTCCATGTTCAGGTCCCAGATCTTCACAGACAAGTAGTCTCTGGTCATCATGTAGCGCCCGTTGTGACTGAACTTGACGTCCGAGATGGACGATATGATCTCGGAGAAGAAGGAGCGGTTGCTGGGATTCTCCGGCTCCTCGAACACTGAGACGAAGCAGAAACACGGGGATGAGAACGAAGAACCGTGGTAAAGGGTTTAACCTCCCGGTGGTTCAGGCTCTTACACTTGGAGTGTTTGTCGCAGAGCGCAGACGCCCTCATGTCGCAGAGCCGGATGGTTCCCTTGCTGCTGCTGTAGACCAAGGTGTTGCACTGGTGAGGGTGAAACTCCGACGCCGTGATCACCTCCGTCAGCTCCTCCATGTTGGCCGGTTTGATGTCGACAATGTCTGGAGGAGGCGGGGTCAGGGAGGAGTAACGCTCTGAGACCTGCTGACCAGCTACAACATCGTCATCATCATCTTCACCCTGGTCTAGTTCACTTCAACTGAAGGATACTGAAGCTGCGGTCGGTGATCTCCAGGTGCCACAGGTTGACGCGGAGGTCGTCTGCAGACAGGTAGGTCTCGTTGTCGCTGTTCACAGACACAGAGTTGATGTGGTAGGTGTGRGCGTTGGCGAACACCCGCCGAGGACTGGCCTCCACCATCAGGTCCATCGGGATCAAAACTGGTACCTGGGGCAAGAAAAACAGCAACGAAGCTCTTAAACACAAAACGCTTTGAGCGTTTAAGTCAGGGTTCGTTCAGATTAAAACAAATGAGCRTTAGAACCTGGTTGTTTGACTGACCTGCAGTGATGTGATGGAGTTGGGGTCTTTGTATCGTCCATCGTCCTCTTTCAGGTTGTAGCCCTCCGGTCTTTTGTCCCGCTCACTGATTTTCCATAATTTTATTGTCTTATCTGAGCCGCGGGAAAACAGGGATTTAGTGTTGGAGCAGTGCAAGACTTTTCAAAGACAAACATTTAACAATAACTATAATAAACATAACAATAACAATAATAACAACAACAATAACAACAACAATAATGATAATAATAATAATAATAATGACAATAACAATAATGTGTATTTCCAGAATTTTTAAAAGCTAAATTTAAAAAACAAACTTTCGATGCCAACATGAAGACATTTAGCTACGAGGCTAACACTTCAGGATGCTCTGCCAATCTTTGGTCCATTGAGTTCTTTTGTTGATACCCCCATACATTAGGGTTGGGCATAACCGTATTGTGTGCAATTAATCATCAGAAAAACATAAATCGATTATTTTTTTGGCACTTGACGATTAATACGATTTATGCCACCAGGCGGACTGACTGGTGCTCCTCTGCTTCAAATATRACGAACATTAAAAAACATTATCGATTTAATTGATTAATTTGAATTTGCCATTTATAAAAGGTTTAATTTGGGGAAAATTGAGATTTATTTCCCCACCAGTGCACTCTTTGGGGCTTCTGTAGCTCAGAGRTCAACCCACCTGTCCCTCATGCTTGGTACACAACATGACAATRTGGCAGCTAGCAGAGAGGATCTACTTCTCAAAAAAGGCAGTWGTAGTGGAAGTATTGTATATCTCTGGATGACTGCATATTTCCTTGACATGTTCCTGTTCTGCTTCTTCAGTTTTACATTTCGTAAGGTTAGAGAGGGGCCGACTGCATTTATTTTATGAAACCAGAGGAAGACAAGGAATAAACTGTGCTGACTTGGACAGAGGAGGTGGGTTGTGATGTTACAGTAGCTGGTTTGTGTTTTTTCACAATTAACGATCCAGTCATAACTTTTTTCACCTGCATAAATTCCATACGCTTGCGTAAGGGTTGTAAGCCCCGGGGCTGGGGGCGGGTTCAGTGTCAACACCCTTCTCCAAAATCCTACCTAAAACCCTGCAGACACATGATGCATCCATCACTGCTCTCTGCTTTTTCACTCTTATTTTTGTTCATTTATGTAAAAAAAAAAAACAACCCAAAAAACACACGTTTAGTAATATAACCTTATGTTCATAGCAGTAAATGAAAACATCCAACAAATTCACTAAAACGCATTTGAAAAATGAAGTTTGCATGTAAAAATAAAATAAAATGAGTTCTGAATGCTTGAATTGCTCCTGTGTTTGTGTTCTGTTCGAAGCGACAACCTCACCGTTTGTRGACAGCAGGAACTGAGCGGCGTTCTTCTGCGGGAGCCAGCGGATCTTGTTGATCTTCTCTTCGATTTCCAAACTCTTCAAGTAGTCGAACTCGGGCTCGTGGCTCTGGAAGGTGCTGTAAACGTTGTACTCGCTCCGGAACTGAGGCTGATTCTTGTTCTGTCAGGAGCCAAGACCAAAAAGATGAAAAAATTAATCTGTTTGTCATCGAAATTACCGTATTTATTCATGTATAATACGATCATCGTTTTGAGCTTAAAAAGCATTAAAAATCAAATTATCAATAACCCGTGTATATAATATATGATAATACATGAATAAATACAGTATATGTATATTTTTTAAATAATGTCTKAAGTGTTTTACCTCTATCTCTTGTTGGAAGATGACCACACGCCCACCTTTGTCTCCGGTGGCGAGCAGCTCTCCCGTGTGATTGAACTCAACCGTGGAGATAATATCCGCTGTGGAAAACAAGAAGCAACAACCATTTTTTATAAATACACTAGGGCTGCAACGATTAATCGACGACCAATCGACTATTAAAATAATCGATGACCAATTTAATAATCGATTAATCGTTTTTTTTTCGTTCTTTATTTTGTTTTTCTCTCCAAACTGCTTTGACACCTTCTACTGCCACATCTGCCTTTCTGTCGTTGACACACATGCACAGTAGTGGTAACTGGGGTAGGCCGTGGACGTCACAAGACATTATACAGACAGGCTCTGGTATCATGGCTACCTGACAACAGAGCTCAAAGTGTGGGATCAACCTGTGCAATATCTGCAGAGCAGAACTTACCTTCCACAGCAATTATTTTTAGTTAGCATATAGCTAAAATCTAACCATGGTTATATAATAGCAGCTGCATTCTGGCACGATAAASTCTATGTTTTATATTCAATTAACGTATGATCTGATTAGTCGACTAATCGAATAAATAATCGGTGATTAATCGATTATAAAAATAATCGTTTGTGGCAGCCCTAAAATACACAGAAATAAACTCCGACCATCAGTGAGTATTTAAGTTTGAGATGCAGGGGGGATGTTAATCATCAATAACCTAGATTATTTTCCCCCCTACAGAAGTGTTGTTCCTTTATATATTCAAACACACTCATGTGAGTGAACACATTGTCGCCCGCTAGAGCAGAAACATTTTGCTAAACAAGAAAAGAAAAGGGACTTTGTGCTCATTTTGACCCCCCGAGGCCCAAAAGCTTTGAGCACGTCTTCCTTCATACATCGTCTCAACCAAAGCATTTGTTTTGTCTTTTTAAATAGAGTTTTAAACACTTCAGGTGGGCTACACGACTCGCAGCATCGATTTAATCTGCTCCGAGCACCAACTGGACCGGCGTTGTTGCACGGCCGATTTAAGGAGCCAAAACATGTCTGAACAAAGAGCACCGCTCCAACACCTGTTTTTAATACCTAACAGAGCAACAGCTCATCTTAAAGTTAGACACACAAAACTGGTTTGGAACAATATGTAAAAAGGAGCTCCTGCTGTCGATGCAGGAGGTGCTAACGTGACGCTTACGTCCACGATGCAGCTTATCTTTGGCTCGAGTCCACTTCATGAGACACTAAGAACACCAAGACCCAAAACCAGAACAGACGAGAGGTTCCGCAAGTCGGCACATAAACTAAMGATTAAATCTGGATTTTCTCTGAAACAYTGAAAGCTCGCTCTGATTTCTACAAGYTGAGAAACTTTTAAGYTTTCYTACTTGWATCATCAACAGAAGAACCGAGCAGAGAGTCCTGTTAATCACCGGTGGGCAGTARGGCTGGGTATCGATTCAGATTTACCAAATCGATTCGATTTAGTTTGGAAGATTTTTAAATTAGTTAAGGATCGTGCAGTAACACATTTACTTTGATATAGAAGACATTCTCAAAGGAACTAAAACTGCAAATAGTAGAAACTAATTCTAACTTGGTGCATTGTTAAATTATAAACATTAAGAGCGATCCAGACCGATTAAATCAATTTTTCTTTTACCCAGCCCTAGTGGGTAAGGTTTATTACCAGACCTAAAGTGTTTGGTTTACGGTAACGTAAAGATAAATAATAGCACAAACCTTCAGCTACGTCATCATCAATGGCTCCTTTCACCTGAGAGAAGCACCACTGCATGTCACCTCCAGGTCCTTAAAAAAAAAAAAAGGGGGAAAATTACAACAAAATCTGAGCGTTTAAACCTTGTTCATGTGTGCAAATTACACCAACACATTCAGGCAACAACAAAAAGGACAAGTGAAACACCGGACCGGCTCATATCCTCTAAAAACWTTTCCAAGTCTCAGCCAAACTAAGACTCCTGTTGTAATCTATTCAGCTACACGTGTAACAGAACCTATACCTGGTACAGGAAGTACAAATCATGTCCGCAGCACTAAATTAAATCCAGTTTACAGTATAAACAAGTCATAAGACCTGCTTATTTAGGACTTGTTATGTAACAGGAGAAGCTCCAAGTCCAGAACGACCCGTCGTGCCTTTTAGGCTCCATCGTCAAACTGCAGGGATTTATTAAAGCTTGTGCAAGAATACATTTTATATATAGTAAATAAGACAAAAGTGGGTTAAAAGTTCATACGAAGAACTTTTTTTCTCCAAGTTTTGAAAAAAAATATTGTAATACCTCTGCTGTACTTTGACAAAAGTTTAATCATTTTCAGTTAGTCCTGGGTTTCCGTTCGGGTGGAGGCATCGAGCTCACAGATGGATCGACGGATCAGCAACGAAGGCGTCATCCCGGTCGCGGCGAAGTCGAGTCGAAAAGCAAAGCGTTCCGACCCTCACCAGCTGCTCATGAGGTTTGGAAAGAATAAAAGAACGAGCCGACAAAACGAGTTTCCTTCGAAGGCTGGCAGGAGTCAGCTGAGGTGGTCCGGGTTTTCATGGCACGTCCCTTTAAGAAGAGACCCAGAACTCACTGAGGGGRTTATATATCCTCTCTGGTCTGGGAACGCCTTGGGATCTGGGGCGTCCGGGTTTCTCTCCTGGACCTCTGGCCAGAACCAACCATGGTTACATTATCAATCTTGTGTAATYCGTCATCCAGCACCTCTGGGTATTCTTCAATTTCTCCTCATAAGGAACAGCTTCTCAAAACATTTTAAGCTGCGGCCAATAGCGRCGCAAAAGGGGCCGCACCCACAGTTAACTCTAGGTATGAATAGTTGAGTTTATGTGTCTTTAAACAACCCCAAGAGAAAACTTACTGTTTTTAAAGCTTCAGATGTCTATTTGAAAGAGTGCAAACATCTTTTTATAAAGTAAGTTTTAAAAGCTGGATCAGGGTTGTGAAAAAAATAACCAACACGCCGACTTCTTCGAGTATAAACACTCGCCTGGACACGATCTCTGTAAACATTGCAAAAGAGAGCAGATTAATTCCTGCAAGTTTTCACACACCATCATCTGTTCCTACCCAACCCCAAACTGATCTCACTGTCGAGGCAGGACAGCAAAAATAAAATGAAGGACAAAACAAATCATTATGAGCTTTTGAAGCCAAACAAACAAACAAGCAAAATAAAATAAAAATAAAAAAACAGAGCAAAAGCTGGTGCTGCTGATCGGGACATTTTGTCCTGACTGTACCTGGGGAAAGGTATGCAGAGTAAGTCTTTCTTCTAGATATAATCCCACAAATTATGAGCATGCTAGGTTGCAATAAGCAACACGTTTGCTTAAGAAAATGTCAGAAAAAAACATGCATTACATAAGGATTCATGTTCATTTAAAGAGTGCACACCCTTCTCTCCACCTTCAGGATCAGGCTAATGAGTGAAACGCAACGAGACTCGAAATACGATTTTCAGAAGCTCATTTTTAAAACAATGCTTTTATTTTAATTGTGCAGAGCAGAGTCTATATGATTATTTTTTGTTTATGTAAACAGAAAAACCGCTAAAAACACCCAGYTGAGAGTGCAGCACAGGGCCTGGAGAGCTAACCTGCCGTGTGGGCACGAATGTCAGAGTTCGCGCTAATGCTAATGCTAACGCTCGCCTAGCTAGTCCAGCCAGCTAATGCTGAGAAAGCTTTATAACAATAATAATGATGATAATTAAAAGAGGTGTGCACGCTGCAGATTAAATCTCTAGCTTTTCGGTGTGTTTCCTGAACAATAGACCATTTAATTAAAACGGGAGTGTTTTTAAGAGCAGAGGAGGAGCATCAATGAATCAGCCTTTGCAGCTACGACAAACTTGGCGTCACTCATGAACCGGAGCAGCTTGTTTTGGCTAAAAAAAAAAACCTTATCTAGTTTGCAAAAAATCCCTCAACGATGCAATTACCAGAGATCATTTTTGAGAAAAATTTAAGCTAGGAAGGCATAAAACTGGACGCGAATGTTTATTTTTCGGTTGTTAGCTTTTAGCTAAAGCTAGCGGAGCTAAGTTTTGGCTAGCCGCTCACGGGGGGCTCATCGGGACGAAGACTGGAGATGGTAAAAGGGAAAAAACATGGTGATGTAACGGTTCAAATGGATTACCTGCCATGAYGAGACAGACAGTGGAGCTTGCCTCAGTCAGTCACGATCCTGCGCTCCACTCCCACGCGTTGCTTCGTGGGACCCGAACTTTTATTCCCCACACTCAGTGTCCGCCGGGCAGCGCGCGCTGAAACCTAAAACTCTGAACCTTAAAAAATATATATTTAAACGCCGCCACGCTTTTATTTCCCGTTCTTCCTTCGGCTGTTTTCTCTCCGTGGATCTGATGTTGCCGCCGGCAACTTCACATCCCGCACCTTCTTCTTCCCCACCCCACTAGAGTCTTTTCCGCACGTGAACCATTGAAGTAAAAGGACCGGAAGCCGGAAGTTGATGCTCCAATGGGCGAGCACCCCCTAGCGGATGACTCTACGAATTACACTCTGAGTGGACAGAAAAATGGTTGTAAATCTGTCACATTTTTAGGTAAATAATCTGAGTAGCATCACATATTGAGATTATGTAAATTATTTAAAAGGACTGAACTAAATATAACTCCATCCCCAATTATAATAGTTTCGTCCTGATGCATCTCAGTAATCCAGGTAAAAAATCAAAAAGAAAAAAAATTGTATAGGTCTTCTGGACGGGTTCTTCTCTAATGAAACGTTTCGTCTCTCCTCCAAGAGACTTCTTCAGTCTGAGAGTTTCAGGCAAAATTCAGGCTTTTAAGCCCTGCCTCCGGGTGGCTGATACTCACATCACATGGTTATCGTTGACACCTAATTAACATTTATTGTTAACAGGGGTTGGAGCGATACTGGCAATGGCCGCGCTGTAGGAGGGGGACAGCTGAAAACGGAGGCCTCCATCTCTGTTTAATGATGGATATAACAATTTTGGTTCAAACTTCTAACATGATTGGTGAGTGATATGCATTCCTTCAAATGCTAAGCCTTTTGTGACAATCGAGGGAAAAAAAAGAGCATGAAAAGGTGTCACGGCAATGCAAATTTAAACATGAATAAAATAAACAAGACCAAAAAAAATTAAAAATGCTTTGCAACTTTTTAATTTATTCTCTAAACCAATCCTATTGGTTTTTATTCTGAGGTGACTACAGGAAGGTTGGGGAAGACACTGGTCCAGAAGTTCACGTAACGCAGCCTCAGCTTCTGTCCCACGTAACTGCTGTCCATCTTAGAGTTGATCTCCAAGAACCTGTGGTCGTTGGACGTGAACGCRGGCCAAGTCACGGGCACCTTCAGGTCTCCTTTGTTTGGGTCTCTGCAAAACACAACCAAAAGGGATCAGAAACTCCAAAAATAAAAAAAGCTGTTTTCTAGTTCTGTTTGGTTTTAATTGTACCCAGTTTTGGCAAAGTTGGTCCAGTAGGCGATCATGTAACCGGAGACGCTCCGATGGCGTGGCCAGTAGCCCAGCGGCGTGGTGAAAGGCTTTCCGAACACGTACTGCAGGTCGTCGGCGTGGTCGGCTCCCAACCAGCCGGGGAAGGGCGAGAGGATGCCCCCCAAACGATTGGGTTCAGTGAACAGGTAAGAGTAGGTGCGTCCGGTGCTTTGGTGGAAAAAAAAAAAACACAGTTAAAAATTTTATCGAAGAGTCGCGCATAAAAGCTTCCGCTACAAAAACGTCTTCTTCTCACCTGGCTTTGGAGGCGTGAAGGTAAAGGGCAGCCTGAGTGGGAATCAGGAAAATGTAGTCGGTCTCGATGGCAACGACGGTTTTCTTGATGGTCTCCCTGCTGGGCTTGGATCCCCAGTCTAAGGTATAAGTGGAGTAGGCGTTGTCCAAACCGAGCGTGCCCTTCTCTTTAGTCAGGGAACCCAAAAGCCTCTTAACCTCTTCACTGAGACGGGAAATAGTTTTCATGTTTTCAGGGAAAACGACCCGAACGCTGCAGGAGAAGCTCATTTTGGAAGCGTCGGACTCACATGGGGGTGTCCACCAGCTGAGAGTTGACCGAGGGGACGTCGGCGCCCGTGAAGATGTGTCCGTCCATGTCGTTGACTCCAGCCATGTAGTCGATGTCAGCGGTGTTGTGGTACAGGTTGTGCACCTCGTCGGGCAGGAAGTCTCCATCAATCACAGGAGACAGGACCAGGTTGTACACCAGAGGGCCTAGCAAAGGCAAACGGGACAATTACCATACACAACGCTGCATATTTATGTCTTTTATGCCATCTTTTAATGATAAAATCCCAAGAGAAAAGACAAAATAAGCTGATAATTTCACTAAACAAGCACAAAACATGACATTTTAAAGCCTTAAATAAATGTATTTATATATTTATAAGGAAAATACAGATTATTAAGTCATCTTCACAATCCATTTTTTGCAAGATAAAATGAAGCAAGACCAGCCGTAATGAAACAGAACGCAAAGTTCTGTGAAGAAAAAATAAAAATTTTAAACTCAAGTCTGTGTGCCTTTACAGCACATTAGGACAATTTTGTAAAAAAAAAAAAACAATAACAGGAGGAGCAAATCTCTGCCGAAATGCTCAAAAATTTTGAGATTAATTTCAGACATTTTCAAGAAAAAACAAGGAAATCTGCAAGAAAAAGGAAAAAAAAAAACAGAAAAATTTCTCATGTAGAAGTCTTAAATTTGCCAGAAACAAACAATCTGAAATTTTCATGATTAAACGCAGAAATATTCTATATTTAAACAAAGTGTTTTTTGATCATGTAAAGTTGGAAATTTACAATTAAATTTATGAAAAAAACTGAAATTTTCATTAACGTCTAAAGGGCGATTCCACCTGTTCTCACCGCCTTTAATCTGCTCTAGTTTAAAAACTAAAACATGTAGAGACTTTCAAACCTGGATKAGATTATTCTAAATTATCCTACACTGATTGTAAAATATTTAAAACCAAGTGTGTGATTTGTGAAATATATATTTGATTTGTGAAACTTCAATATAGGGCGATTTCCAAAGTTTTTTAATGAACAAATTGAGCAAAGCCACGTGGAGAGGGGAGAGAATTATTGGGTTTTTTCATCACAAGAAAAAAAAGTGATCAGAATTGTAAATTTAATGCTCTCCTTTGTCCGTTTGGTTCAAAGAGTCTGAAACGAGCGTGAAYGGAGCTTACTGTCGGGGGAGCTGGACAGGTTGAGCGTGCCCGCCAGGGTCAGAACGGTGGGATCGGTCATCTTCAGACAGTCGGCCATGCTGTCGTCGGTGGGGCAGTTGACTTTCAGAGCAACCTGATGAKGAGGAGGAGGAGGAGGTTTCGGATATTTTTACAGCAACAGTCGGGAATAATCCACGACAAACGTACCTCTTCGGCAAACTTGCGGGGGGTTTTGTTGATGGCCCAGGGGCACGTGGCCACCCCACTCTGGGAGATGGCTCTCTTGAAAAGCCCTTTGTTGTGAGGGGAGAGGGTCTGAAAATTAACACAGAATAGAAAAAAAAAGATTTTAAAATATAGTTATGGTCCAAGGTACAAGGCACAAGATCTGGACTTATCTGCATCAAAAGGCAGAAAAAATCCGAAGCAAATCTAGAGTTTTCCATGAAAAAAAAGTTTCATTCTAGAATACGTCTCAAACTCAAGGTCCATGGGCCAGATGTGGCCCACGATAGCGATTTATGCGGCCTGCGACAGTTTCAAAGGTGTATTAATGTCTCAAAAACGTCTGCTTTAAAGCCCTAAACTACATTTCCCATGATGCATTTTGATTATATTACCCACGAAATGATGGCATCCACCACTGCAAAGGCAACCGTTTTGAAGGTGCAGATTTAGTCTTGCTTTTATTTCTCATATAATATCTTTTTATTTATTTGCTCTTCTAACAAAATTTAATCGTTTAATTGCTGGTTTTATATTGTAACATCAATGAAGTTGAGTAGCGTCACCATCGGGACATACAATAGTCAGTGTGCGTTGCCAATGCAATGCACACTATTGTGATTCGTTTCCCATCCAAGTCATCTCAACTTTGCCATGCTTCTCCTCCTGCATACTTTGTCCTAGAGCTGCCATTGTAGTTTATATCTGTAAAGCTCCTGTGCCAAAAGATGGCTATGCCTTTTGGTGCCTGTAAAACTTATAGTTTATGAAATATTAATGTTTAATGAAAAATAATGGCAGTCAATGGAGCCAATACTGCCCCATGCTGTACTCAACTTGGTACTGCACCATAGTTTAATATTTCAACTCAGTAGTTCAGTGTTTACAGTACTAATATGATTGTATTTTGGTGTTTTACTATAATATTGTCTTAATACTGCTTGATTGTTGTAATATTATGCATTTTTGTGTCAATAATTGTATTGGCAATGTGGCCTCTTTCTGCACACATACAAACCAACCCCTGCCACCATCTTCTGCCACAGTTCTATTGGTCTAATGGTCTATATCATGGACTTTCTTGTGGGAGATCAGGGTTCAAAACCCAGCTAATGCAACTTTAACAAAAATCTCTTCAAACTTCATATTGTCACACAATTACCTTAATTACAAACACCTGCTGACGTGACAGGCACAAGCTGGTATAGAAAACACATTTGAACTTGGTCAAAGTTCATTCTGCAAGTCCAATGCTGCAGGCAAAACCATGCTGCAATGACATGCTACAAGGCAATGCACACTTGTTTTTACATCGTAAAAACCCATGTCTAGTTCTTATTGTGGTGCAGTTTCATTGTCCATAGTTTGAGATGCCATTTTTTAATACCTGTTGCACATTTACACTTTAAACACTGTTTCTAAGTAAAAACACTGTTTCTATGCAGGAAATACCAGGTAGAGCTCAGTTAGTTTGTTAGCGGGTCTCAAGATTATGGTGTTTTATTCTAAGTTAAACACAACCACGATGCTCACGTGGCTTTGGGTGAAAACGATTTCAACGCCTCTCCCCTAGAAGCTTCTCACCTGCAAACTAACACTGGCTCCTCCCGCAGACTCTCCAAAGATGGTGATGTTATCGGGGTTTCCTCCGAACGAGCGGATGTTTCGGTGCACCCAGGCGATGGCGGCGTGCTGGTCCCACAGACCGTAGTTTCCTAAACGGGATCCGACACGGTTAAGTTCAGGAGAACAACTAACCTGACGGTCTCATGGTGGGTACCTACCGGGCATCTTAGAGTCTCCGGTGCTCATGAAGCCCAGGCTTCCGACTCGGTACCCCAACGTCACCACGATAACATTCCCTCTGTCGGCGATTTCCTGCCCGCTGTACAAATAGTTATCCAAGAAGTTAGCTCCCATCGAACCTCCCAGCAGGAAGGCTCCTCCATAGATCCAGACCATGACGGGCAGATTGCTGGACACTGGTGGGCGAAGGGAACACTGTAGCCACGGCGTCGCTTTATTAACGCCTCGTAAGCAACACAACGTTCTTTACCTACGCCGCCAACGTGGGGGACCCAGATGTTGAGGTAGAGACAGTCCTCGCTACCTCGGACGTCGTTCATGAGGAGGTTGAGCTGAAGGCATCGTTTCTGGTACTCCTTGGCCTTCAGAATACCTGATTGAGGACAAGAACACGTGAAAGAAGTGTCGCAAAACCCTTTGCAAGGGTTGCCAATTTCTAGAAACCAACGGAGTCGCTTGAGTTTTGAAAGTTTTTAACTTTTTTTGTGGTAAAACAAAGACTTTTCAACATCCACACCAAAAATTGGCCCATCTTTCGTCAATGTAGAAGTTAGCGGTCTAATCTATAGGTGTCAAACTCCAGTCCTCAAGGGCTATCCAGCATGTTTCCCTTGCTTCCCTTTTCAAACACACCAGATTTGCATGAACAGATGTTTGAATCACTGAATCAGGTGTGTTCCAACAGAGAAACAAGGAAAACACGCAGGATAGCGTCCCGAGTTTGACTGCTCGATGTGCATTTTAATAAACTCCTAAAACTACACAACATTGTGCATTTGCTTCATCCTGCTTCCCCTTTTTTCAGAAAAAAATGAAATTAGGCGTGTGTTTTTTTAAACTAAAGAAGTGTTAGCTCGTGTCCGTTCACCCACCGTCCCAGCCGGGGTGACGCGTCGGCTTCTCAAACCTTCTGGGCATGGCGGCGAAGGGAACGCCCTTAAAAACGTCCATGTGATGTTTGTATCCGAGGCGAATGTTGGTACCCTCCACCAGCCCTCCCTCGGTGTAAACCACACCCAGCTGCAAAAATAAAAAATAAAAAATTCAACAGAAAATCATCATCATTTCTGACTATTTAACACAACTGAGATGATACCAAACTTCTACCAGTGTTTTAATTTTGGTTATTGTTACAGTTTGTGGTTCTGGTGGTTGTTTCTTTTATTTTATTTTTTGTATTTTCATATTACCCTGTTTATTCAGATTCCTTATGTTCAGTTAGAAAATAGTATWTTGTTTGAACATCGAAAATTTAGAAAAGATTTTTTCTCGCAAAGTTACGACTTTTCTACAAAAGAGAATTTCCTGTTTTTTTCTAGAAAAATTCTGAAATTCATCTAAAAATTTCAGAATTTTTATTTTTTTGCCGAGATTTGCTCCTCCCTTTTTTAATCTGCAAAGTGGCTCTAATACAGCATTGTATTTAGCAGGTTCTCTGGAGGTTATATACATAGATATATTTTAATTAAATATATAATTAATTAAATAAATAAACTAACTAACTATATAATAATAATTATAAAATTACGCAGTACAGTGGCACTGTTAGTAGAGCAACATATTGCCTCTAAAGAAGAAGGATACTAGATCAACTTTCTGGGTTGTGTTTACATATTCTCCCCGTGCAGATGTGGGTTTTCTCCAGGTACTTTAGTTTCCTCTCACAGAACAAAAATCATATTTACTGAAAAATTGTTGTGAAAAAGCAAATTAATATTTTGGGATGATGCTACAGTATTTGACGTTTGAAATTGTTCTAGTTTTAGTCTTGATTTCCAGTTTTGGGTATTTATAATTACAGTTTTTGTTCACAAAAGTAAACATCAACAAGCAAATCAAACAGTTCTAAAATATTTAAAAGAGGTGGCTTCAAAATGGAGAAAGTTTGTTTCTTGTAAATGTTTTAAAAATTTATATTTGGACATTTTTTTAAGAAGAGAACAGCCCAAAGGCATCATGGTAATTATTTGTGAAGGGGAAGTTGGACCCCAACCCCAACCCCACATTTATCATAAAAACTTAGTTCACTCAGCAATGTTTTTATCATTTAACAAACAAATTCATTCCACTTTATAGAATATTTATACTAAGTGTTTAGCTACTTGTGTAGGTAAAAGTATGTTAAATTACCTGTTAAAATACACCAGAATGCAAGAAACGGTATCCATTTCATTCAAAATAACATCATCTGTCGGCAAAACCTTAATTATTATACGGCCAAAGTTTTCAATTTGTTATTTTACAACAGCGTCATAGAATTTCTGTTATGGATTTTAGTTTTGGTGTGCCACCCCTGATTTTTCAATGGCCCCCCGGAAAATAATCCTGCAGGCGGCCCTGCTTACGTTCAGTTTGTTTCCCCCCAGCTCACCTGCTTCCCATCTTTTCATCAGTCTGTCATACTGTTACCTGTGCTTCTCATTGTTTTAGCCCCAGGTGATCTCAAAATCCCCACACCCCCCATGTTCCAGTCTGAGTCCTCAGGTCCACCCCGAAGCCACGGTCTGTCAGGGATAAAACTTACGGAGGCGGCAGAGACGGTCTCCAGCAGCACGGCAACAGCAACCAAAATCCCAAACATCTCCATCGGGGTTCAGCTGTGAGAAYTGGGCCAACGGTGGGCCACACTTTTATAAAGCAGACCCCCACCCCCCACCCCCAAACAACAAATCACCCGACAGTTACATAACAATTAATGATTGACCCGTGTTTGTGTTCAGATATGTAGCTTTTGAGCTCAACTGAGGATAAAATCTGCATCAGTTACAGTTTTTATTTTAAAGGAACAATAAATCATCTGCAGCCTTTAGAATCTACAAAGTTTCTTTAAAAAATAAATGTTTGAATAGTTCTTTAAATAGTACATTTATAACCAACTGGGTCAAGCATATATTTCATTTTGTACACTTTGTGTGTGTGTGTGTGTGTGTGTATATAGACTTTTCAACATCCACTATCTATATATACATATACTGTATACATTAGAGGCGCAACGATACAGGAAATTCACGGTTCGGTTTGGTTCGATACTTTAGTCTCATGGTTCGATATTTTTTACGATACAAAAAAGAGAAATTTCCATGCCCCTTTTAACTTGTAATTTATTTATATTAATATGAACATTTGTTTAACCTCAAAAGTGCAGTTTTTTAATTAAATGTTGCTTAAACAGCAAGTTTCTCAGTGGATCTG